ATTTAAATTAGGATTGAGGTTTCACGGCGGTGTCTATGAAGAAAGCAGTCTTCTGGGATTTTTCGTCGTGTAGGTATTGTGTTAACCGACGTTTCGGAGGAATGTATGGCCTCCATCTTCAGGGAAGATGGAACCGAAACGTCGGTTAACACAATACTACACGTAGCCACACCCCACAAGACTGCTCTCTTCACATTTTGATTAGTTTAACTGAAATCACGCGTATAATAAACTGAATAAGTAAGTAATACGTGTATACTGCTTCCATCCTAAATTAATCTTGTAGGTTGAAGTAACAGATGTGTTCTCATTCTACAGCCATTTTTTTTTATCATCTGACAAAAAACAAGAAAGAAGATCAGCACTTGGTATACTTAAGTCAAGACCGACGATCTTCAGTAATTCCTTCTGTGTATGGACTTAACCTTTGGAGAAGGATATTAAATAAAATATTATACGAAATTCGTAACAATGATATCCCTCGATAATTATTACGGTCAGTTCTGTTATTCTTTTTGTAAAACACACAAGATGATACTTCGTCGATTGTTAAAGGAATCCTTTCTCATTCAAGATAGTATTAATGGGTTTATGGGTCTCAGAGCCGGTCACGGTAGCCGAGCGGTCTAAGGCATGTATTTTCTTCGCTCGCTTGGAAACCGGGATCGTGGGTTCGAATCCCACTCAGGACATGGATATTTAGTTTGTGTGTGTGCGTTTTTCTGTGTTTGTGTACAGGTAGAGGCCTTGCGACGAGCTGATCACCCACCCAAGGAGTTCTACCGAATGTGTAAGATCTAGAAAAACCGAAGTGAACGGAGTTCATGGAGGTAGGCCTATGCCCACTGGGGCTGTAGTGTCAAGGAAAAAAAATGGGTCTCAGAATCTACTGGTTCAGCATCAGAACAACCAGTCTGAGGTACTAATGACTCAGCTGTATGCATCTCGACATTCCAAACGCAATTAAGCCCAGGTATGTTCAGTACCAGACAGAAGTGATTACTCCAGCTCTGTAGCATGTTACGGAATGACATTTCTCCACATCTAGTGTCATTAATTTAAAACTTATTATTTGCGTGTACAATTGATACTTAATGAGGATATCATGTCTGTTCAACAGTACGTTTCATCTACAAAAGTTCTGATCACATATCAACAAAATTTGGCATTTGCAGTATAAAATGGAAGCCTCAGGTTCAGTCACATTCGGGTTCTGTTTGATGAAGAACAGATCGTAATGATTACTCTCTTCTGGGATGTGACACCGTGTAGTTCTGTAGATATTTACGAGGAAGCAGTTTCCTTCCCATTTTGTCATAAAAATTTGACTACGTTCACATCCCAGAAGAAAATTTGCTTCGCTTAAAATTCAGTTATTCACAGAAGTGGTTACGAAGAGATCTGTCCTATGGGATATAACGTTGTTCCATCCGATAAATTTTATCCCACGTTTCGGAGAAGCAAGTCGCCTTCACGGTTGCAGAATAAGCCAAGGGAGAAACCAGCATGAAACAGGCAGCAGACAGAACAGCTCTTCGACATTGATTATCGCATATCACTCCGAAACGTCGTCTGATTTTCATTGGGGTACACAACGTTATATCCCACAAAATGTAACTATTAACTGTCGCATCGTGAGAACTACAGATTGAACAAGGACTCCAGATTTTGAAACTCGGATTTAACTTATCCATTTCACTGGAAAAGTTTTGTTGATGAAAAATTTAAGAAACGAAATAAAAAATCTTTTCTGACTCCCTTTGTCCTAAATATCTGTTGTACGTATTCGTATAAGGGATCAGTGTCTTGAAGAATGAAGTAAGAAAAGGCAAACCTAAAGTTGTCCCTATGCTAAAGTTGATTGAGCACTAAGCCATGAAAACGTACAGAGAAATGAAGGGATAGATAAAACTTTCTTGAGCTCTGCACTAGATGAAGGTGTATGATCAGCTTCACGTCCCGGGCGCTTAACTCCCCAGGAAGGAGCCCCCGTACCCATTTTATAGGAGGCTGGGTGGGCTCCAGAGAGCCAGTCTGGATGCTGTGAAGAGGAGGAAAATTAATTGATCTGATGGGAATCGAACCTCGGCCGTCCAGTTTGTAACCCATCGTTGTATTGACTAAACTATACTGATTCCAAAATAGTTGCAGGAACGGAATGAAATTGTATATAGAAGTGTCACTGCTAGCTTTTCTAAGTGGAAGTGAAGCTTGAACAGAGCAGGACACATGAGCTGCATACAGCCAGTAGAGGAGATGCTTAAGTACAGTTAAAGGCTGCACTAAACAAGAACAAATACATTTGGGAAAACTTGAAAATAAAGTCAGTGCAAGATTAAAGAAAAAATGCGGACAAAAATTGATGAACCGTTTGGGTAGCAAGACTAAAGGAAAAAAATACCGAAACGGATTCTGCAGTTAATCCAAAAGAACACCGAAACCGAGGAAATCTTGGAACGAGTGCGTGAGTTCGGAACAGACCAGACTGCCTTTGCCTGTGATTGCCAAACTATGTTAATCTTAGAGTTACTTGGTGAGAACAATGGACCACTGAGGTCTAAGTGCAAGGGCCGAGCAGGCCTACCCCTTCATACATACATACATACATACTTGATGAGAATAGAAAAATTTGAAGTCATTGATGGCTTAGAACTTTAAGGACTGATTATTTTTTGTAAATAATATATAAATTCAGTTCCTACCTCTCAAAAAACACATTACGTCTCATCTACAAAGCCCAACCGGTTAATGATATTTATGGAAATATTAGCTGTTTATTGTGGGAACCATACGAAACACGCAAATACACTATCTGGGCAGAAAATAGAGTTTTATTGTATTAAAAAAGGTGGTGCGTATAGTAACTACTGGACTTTAAAGGGCTAATTTATTCTGTCCTTTCAACGCTTCTTCAAGAGAAGATGCTCGGTCTTTGTATGTGACCAAGGTCCCAACAAGAGAACATACTCGTTCAAGTTTACAGAAATGGCTGTTTCTTTATGAGATGACATTGCAATAGTGAGATTACCTCAGAAACACGGGTCACGGTACAATAGGGTTACAGACCTCTGTCCCGGGCGCGTGTGTTCAATTCTAAAAGTAAATGAGGCATAGTTAGTTCTAGTCCCAGGTTACACAATTCAACCAAAGTCCCGTACCTTCTTTTATCGAAGAATGAATGCCTGGGGAGAGCATCATGCTGGTAAGTGGTTTGTGTGTTTTGTGTTTCACTCAGGTTGTGACTCTATGGGATAGTCAAAGGGGACCATATTTTCTAGCAACAAGTTATAGGGGAACTTGTTCTGCAATACCTTGTCCCGTCTAGGGATACTTGTGCCCCTTATTAGAAGGTAGTCACTTGTAGAGGGTCTGTCAGTAAGTCTCTCTTCCCTCACTATTTTACACTTCTTTTGTTGGGCTTATTGGATAGCGTTTACACGTCAATATTTGAAAAGCTGAGCATTTCCAACAAGAACACGGCATTTCTACGCTTCTATATTTAACTCGTATTGTATTTTCCTTCTACTAACTTCTTACAAATAAAGAATGAAATAAAATGTAAGGTAAAGCCATCCCTGTAACAAGTCATGGAGGTCCATAGGGTTGTGAGACGTCGAGGTTCCAACATCTTCTAGAAAATCCGCCAAAAGATGGCGGTGAGGTTGTCAGCCTTATGCGGTGGTCGCCCTTTACCCACAGGAAGATTCATGGTACTCCTTTCTGCCAGAGGCTGAGTCCACCCCAGGGACAAAGACCAGCTGGAAGGATTAGGTCAATCGATGAATCTAATAACCTTATCGGGAATCGAATCCGCGACCTTCCGGCAAGAAGCATAGTGCCTCAACGAACTACGCTACCGCGTGACCCATGAATAATATGAAGTCGAAGTGATAATTATGAATATTTTAAAAGTAATAGCCCATATATGAAGGGATAGATTGCTAGCAATTGAAATCTAGAATCAATCTATTACCTTTACTGTTATAGTGTATCATTCCTATGAATTTAACCTTTACTATTTCTTAAAACTCTATGCATAATTGATCTTATTTGAGGTAAAGGTTTAAAGTGTGGTGTTCTCTTTTACCCTGATGTAGGAAGCTGCCGATTCCTCCGAAATGATAGTAACCATATACTAGAGTTCACCGTATAATAAATCAGAAAGCTACAGTTTATGTATCTGGTGAACATTGTCCTAGTTCCAAGAATGTTTTTAATTGAACATGTGGATAAAAATAATTGGTGTTCCGTTACGGTATAACTGAATGTTCAAGGAATTTCTACATATCAGTCAAATAATTTTTTAATGATAAAAGGGCACGGAATTAATAGGCAATACAGATACATGCAGATTTTAGTTCGATTAATTTTTTGTGAAGGCAGAAGGAAGTTTTCTGGAACATTAAGTGACTGTAGAACGAACATATTTGTGGGAAACGGGTTTTTTTATACGTAAATAAACAAAAATTAAAATTCTCTATTTCAGGACATGCTCATTAAAAAACGGAGCACCCTTCCCGAAGTTAGCTATGGATTTCCTCTGTCCCTCCAGGAAAATCTCGGAGTGATTCTGCATTATGCCACGACAAGTTTTTTCCAAATCCTTTCATATTCATCGTTCATTTATCCGTTTGATGCTGTATAATTTAACTATTAACCGCCCTGCATTATAAGCCAATTAAAATGACTTTCCTGTGAAATATCTTGAAGCGTTTACCAGGCTACACTGTGTCACATCCCATATGATCGTATCCTTAATACTCACCGCTCTGAGAATGACACAGCTTACATTTATTGAGGTTCATTGAACTTAACAAGAATTTCATGTTTAAAACTTTATATAATGAATTCCGTTATGCATGCTCTGGTGAATAGATTAGGGGCTATTCAGGGAAATATGGTTGCTGTCTTGAATACATTTCATTTTGTTATGGTGGTGTTTGCTGATAGACGTAACACGAGAAGTCGCTAGGCAGTCAGAGACGGTAGAGTTGCGTAGATCGAGCTTCGTGTGTAGGCTAGCATGTTCTGACGTGATGTAGCTTATAGACAGTGACATTTAAGATGGCAGTGAGGTTCAGAAAGTGTGAAGTTGCTTACTGCAAGGGGGTACAGACACAGAAAAGGTAATTCATTACTATATTAAAGATTAATTATACGTAATTATATGAGTTACTTTAAACTGAATGCCGTTGCGACTGGGCGAAGCCAAAAGATGCGGAATATCTTAGAAAAATATTGAAGTATTCAGTCAGGATAAGGATCTTGTATTTGTTGCTGTTGTTGATTGAGGTTCGAAAGCCTTGGACTTCTATTTGGGTAGTACTAGTTTCGAATCTCCTCAGGGATACCGGATACAATACGGATTTTTGTGGCTCTCCTCAGCTTTTCCATGACATTTTCGGGTTAGTACCCTTATTATCCCACTACTTCTTCTAAAACCCATGGAATTCATCTACCATCGGACGCCGTATAATCTGGATACCGACGCTGACCTATACTTACTTACTTGGGGCCGCGCCATTGCTCAAGCGGTTAGTCGCTGGCTTCCCACTGCGGCGGCCCCGGTTCGATCCCGGGTCTGGACAAGTGGGATTTGTGGTGGACAAAGTGGCGCTGGGGCAGGTTTTCTCCGAGTACTTTGGTTTCCCCTTCCAATCTTCATTCCGCCAATTGCTCCACAATCAGCCTTACCATCTGGGGCTGGTACATTAGGCCAGAAGTTAGCGCAATACAAGTGACTTAGTCCCACCCCACTAGCAATATGAATAGAATAATTTCTTATGGAGCTGAGCCCTTCTTGACGAGAAGCCAAATCTTCAGCTACTCAAGAATTTCCCAGCATTTTATGGAAACCGAAGGTTCATTACCGTCTTCACAAGAGTCCTCCACTGGTCCCTTTCCTCAGCCAGCTCAATTCAATCCTTACCATCTCATCCTGTCTCTCTAAGATCCATTTTAATATTGTCCACCCACCTACGCTTTGGCGTTAACAGTGATCTCTTTCTTTCTGGCTTTCTCACCAATATCCTATATGCAATCCTCATCTCACCCATTCGTGCTACATGCCCTGCCCATCTCATTCTCCTTGACTTGATCGTTCTATTTATACTTGGAGAAGAGTACAAGTTGTGAAGCTCCTCATTATGCAGTTTTTCTCCAACCCCCTGTCATTTCATCCCTCTTCTTTCGAAATATTCTCCTCAACAACCTGTTCTCAAACACCCTCAGTCTGTGTTCCTACCTAAATGTCAGAGACAAAGTTTTATACCCATACAGAACCACAGGCAAAATTGACAATGACCTATAACATCCAAGAAATAAAATATGGTGATTTTGATGATGACTTCATTTTATTTCTCTTATAACATCAAATGATGACCTAGAAAAAGTCGAAACATGTAGGGTCGCCTTCACATAATAGTGATACGGCACTTTCCATTTTCATTTTCGGTTAAAGATATTTACGTTGTGTTGGCGGACCCTTTTACTTGCTTACCTAATACACAACAGGGCGCACACCACTAATAATTCCAAAGACAAAACAACTTCGTCCAGTGTGACTATTGAAGTTTTTGCTACTTGAAAACTTAATACCCTTACATGTTTCGGTCCGTATAGACCATCATCAGAGGGACATCGATACATTTTGGAAACTACTATCACAATGGGTGTCTTGAGTATTAAAATACATACATATACAATGTTTGTAACGCACAATATATACAAAATCCAACTTTTCCACAACTACAGCAGCTTTCTTGGTATATTGAAGTTTTTAAAACTTTGTTATTTAAGTTAAAATTTATAAACCAAGTGGGTTCGTGTCCCTTCTCCTATTGTCTTTCTTGAAGGGGGCTGAATTTGTGCCGCCTCTCTACACAGCACGCCACGNTCGATGTCCCTCTGATGATTGTCTATAGGGACCGAAACATGTAAGGGTGTTAGGTTTTAAAGTAGTAAATCTTCAATAGTCACACTGGAGGGAGATTTTGTCTTTGTAATTTGTTAGTGTGTCGGACCAGAGTGAAACAAATCAAATTCACAAATAATTCGTTTCAAAATTTATAAGAAGAAAGCAATGTAGTTTACAGAATAGAAAACAGTTAATTATTTGAAGAGTTCCTCCGAAATGTCTTTTTCTTTTTCGTGCTACATGACGTTACAGCCTATCAGATGTGTTCTTCATAGTAACAGCCATGAGAATATCAGATCAAACAGTGGATTGGTTGAAGATCTAAAAGAATAGTTTTACGAACCGTTTAAACTATTTTATTAGTTTTGTTTATAGTTTTATCATTTATTTTCGCTGCGCCATGTGGCTGTTGTAGTACTGTGTCATCCATAATGTAATGGCACGGCCCAGGATAACTGCACAACTCGACTCTGGGGAATCCTGTGTCGAAGAATAGATTTCAGTTTATTGTCATTCCCGAGAATCGTTCAATGTCACGAGACACATGTCGCTCTCATAGCAGTACGTGAAGCTTATGGTGGGGGATGCACTTCAGTCTACAAAATGAATTTTTTCATGAAACTTACAGCTTGAAAACGAAACAATAATATTGTATTTTAGCATCTTGTTGCACTTGGTATAAAACCTATTTTTGGTTTTGTTTACCGTCCGCCATAAAATAATGTAAATATTTAAAGTTACATTTTTTTAAATCCGTCACTGCACTACATGTTTCCGCCTATTCGACCATCATCAGGTGCGACGAAATTCGGCGGGACTGCTGTGACTTCCGCGCTACTGAGATCGGTTTTTTCTTATTTACGATGTTCCTCAATGAAGTCAAGAGTAGTTAACATGCACATTGCATGCTAGATTGGCAACAGACATACCAAAAAGGACAATTTATGTGGCATAGAAGGAGAAACTATACATCTTCATTTATAAACACTGTAAATACCAGAACACCGATAGCAACATCGTGGAAGACACAGAAATCCCCCCCCCTCATTTCAACGCACCTGATGATGATAGAGTAGGCTGAAACATGTAGTGAAGTGATGGATTTTAAAATGAATTTAATTTTAAATCTTGACATTTTTGCATGGTGGCGTGTAAACAAAAAAATAGAAGCAACAATAATTTTAACCCACTTTTCCGTATTTTGAAAAAATAAAAAGAGGTTTATGATATCATCTTGCTGTCTGTATCCCCCCCACCACAGTAATATTTTTTATATTATGAGATGACCTTGTAAATGAGTCCTTAACTAAACAAGGCAAGTATTAATGATAGAAATGCTTATTGTGTGATCTATTAAAGAATAATGCAACGACCTCGCCTAGCCCGGATTAAGTTACCTTCTCCATTTTGAGTGAAAACAAACGCACTCAGACGGACATCTCATGTGAACATTTCTTAGAAAGAACGTCAGAGTTCTGAGGAAATGCAACTCGAATTTATTTTATTCAAGATAACGATAGTTTGCTGGTCCATCGATATGCCTAGATCTTGTCCGTCAATGAATTTCCAATTCTTTTCTTTCAGTAAGTCTCAGAATTTTCTCCCTCTATAAATTCCACACCTTTTCCGTCAATGTTTCACAGTTCATCCGTAAATAAATTCCAGAATTTCCCCGTGGATATGTATCTTAGTTTGTGCTTAGATAAATTCCAGATCTTTCAGATCCTCTCCCTAGATAATTCCAGATTTTGCCCATCGATGTGTTCGGAGATTCTTCATGGCACGGTTCACACCCCCATCACAATCTTCGGATCTTTCCTGTCGCTATTCTAAATGAACTGCCTCATATGCAGTAATAAAATATGTAGCTTATATTCCGAATACGGGACCCTCCGTTAATCGCTTCTAGACCTACTTTGGGTAGGAACAGGTCTTGGCTCGTGCCTGTCGCAAAAACCACTCTTCAGTCACCCTTCGAGTATTAATAATTGACGTGGAGGTCAGAAAGTTTTAAATATACTGTAGCGTGTTTTGTGTGTCACGCTACAAATAAATTCACGTAGGTCTCAAAGTCCGTAGAAACTTTATTGTTCTTCACACTTACACAATCACACGCTTTACAATTGTTAGCCTACACAATGTCTCGGCCGATACTGGACTGTCTTCTCTGGCGGTTTATATCAGGCTCTCTCCTGCGGTGGATATTCCAAGACACTCTTCTTCGAAGGCTGGATAAAGACTGACTGCTTCTAGTCGAAGCTGGGCTATTTATCCCTTCGGCCGCTGCTAGGCAAATGAACCCTCTGTTATAGCAGTGGAAACGTTGCTTTGTAGGTTCCGCGTTTCCTACGCAATGACCCATTGTTATTGCGTTGTCTCTGTGGGAACGCTTCGCGTATTCGTCGTAACCGTGGAGATTCGATGTTCTCTACACAACGGCTCACTGTTGGGATTACAGTGTCGCTATTGTTACTTCCTATGCAACGGTCTGTTCTAGCGTTTCCATAGAAGTGACTCTTCTGGTTTCCCGACACGTTACAATACATTAATTTTCCTTAAGGATTTTCTATCTTCTGGGACTTGTTGATGGAGAAAAACTACTGAAAATTTGGAAGCAGGGAAAGTAACGAAAATGTGACTTTCTTCTCCGGTACCAACATTCATACACACTAATACACGTACATCGCTGTGTAACTTAAGTTAGTTGCCGTTAGTTGCCGTTAAGTTGCCGCTTGTGAAAATTCGTGTTGTTGAAGTTGGATATAGATGTACTGAAACTAGATCCTTAGTTAATCCTTCATGATGTGGCTGGATCGACTTTAAGATCAATATTTATGAAATATATGTATATATACGTATACATAAGACGTGCTGACAATATATACCACTAGGTAAATTTTTTTTTCTTAACAAAAATTAATATTAAATGGCGGAGAAAACTGGTCTAGTGGCAGAAGCCCAGACTTTTGTTTAGGAAGTATTTGGTTCGACTCTCGGATGGGACACCGGCTAGCCTAACTGAGGTTTTCCGCCGTTTTACTAGGCGCCTTCGGGTAAATACACTACTTTCTTTCAAATGTTTTCCAATTCGCTATTTACCAACTATCTTACCATTCGATTTCATATAGTAAAAAATGCCGATAGAGTCATAGGATAATCCACTGTAGGATAGCTGTACTGTTTCAATAGTAATCATATATGAAATAAATT